CTACTTCATGGAATCTTATATGAGTTTGTGCAAAACACATTAAACTACTTTAGCAATGTGTCATTCATTTAAATTTGGCACGTATTTGTATGCAAATAAATCCTTTTACAAGGTCTGTCTTGAAATACTGGGCGTACAAAAGAGTGCAGAAGATCCATCCCAGTCCAGCAGAGTTCCATCAGTTCATTGTCAGTCACCCTGTTTACAAATGCCATGCCTCTCTCTGATAATCCACTGAATCATCTAAATCAGTTCCGCACCCTTTGCTGTCCTGGATGAATGCCGACGTGAGCTATTCAGATCCAGGCCTGCTGAAATAATGGCAATCAAACAGTTGCTATTGTCTTTAACTATTGCAACAGACCAGTACTTGAGCCATAATTCAGTAAAAATAAATTAAAGTGAACATGGTTCTTCCCCTGATACCAATATAGTCCATCAAGACATGTTCAGTCTTTGGGTGAGGCAAATGTAGCTAATGAGTAATGGAAGCTAATAGCACACCAATCAACACCATGAAAATCGCATGCTACTTGCCTAAAATCTTGTCAAAAATATTAAATAATCTCAAACAAACTCGTTTATCTGGTTTCTTACACTCTATGACCTACTTTTATCCATTAAAACGGACAACCGTACACTGCATAGCTAAAAAACAGAAGCAGCCATCGAAGCCTGAATTTTCTCAGTGCTTTTCGTCCTTTATGTCCATGCTAGAAAAACTAGCATAGACCAGCATGGCTAGTCACCAACAAAATGGATGCTGGTCTGCTGGTCAGCAGCAATGAAAGTTGATATGCAGGTTGCCAGCAAAACCAGCATATACAGTATGTTGTGTTTTGGATGCTGGTATCCTTGACCAACGTAGACCAGCGTGGAATTCGTGCTAGTCTGTGCTGTTTTTTTCAGCAGGGTTGTTAGCCACCTTAGCTTCGTAGCCCTAGTTCTAAAGAAAAGAAGCAAACATCAGATGCAAACCATGTAGGGCTTCAACTATCGAATATTTAAAGAGCGTTTTATAAGAATAAGAGCAGTGGAAAAGAGTAAATACGATAATAACAGCCATCTTGAAGTTTGTCCATACTTATGTCCATTTTTGTGGTAACATAGTGTTATAAACCACATAAGTGAGTCTGTTTTTGAGACAAAAAGTAATCCTGGAAAGCAGTTTGCATGATGTTAACTGACAGCTATATTGCTTGTTTCTTGTTCCAGCGCAAAACTAAAAAAGCAAACTTCAGACACCAAAGCCCAATCCCATTTTTTATCTTTACCCCTTACCCTTTGTTTTCGAGTGTCACTCTGCCCCTTGGAACTGAGTTACAAGGGGGTAGTGGTTGAAATCTGTCAGTCTGGAGTGATAGCAGAGGAGGGTAAAGTTCAGCACCCTCACTGCTGGGCTTTAGTTACATTTGGGGCATCATATGCCTTCAAAGAAGGGGGTACGACAGTTGTTTATTATCACCCACCCATAATTCTTCAGTGATATGAAGCTGAAGTCAGATATTCGCCAGCTTGTTAGAATTTTCCCCATTTGTTCTCGTAACACTCCGTAACACAAGCCTCTGTTTGGAGGGCCATGTAGCCCTAACACTTTGCCCTACCCCACTATCTCAGCAAAAATCTGGACACCCTACCCTTAGAGGGCTAAGTGATAGGGGCGAGGGGTGAAATGGAATTGGGCCCAACTATGTCTTAGCTGATCTAAGCTTTGTGCTTAGGAGAAAAACTGTGTTAGCCTAAAAAACAGCCAACGACCTGACATATGGAGGACGGAAAAGGTGGCTGAAGTGTGTCTGAGTCCATGTCTGCAGGGCCTGAAGAAGGATGCTCATAATGTTACATCATAATCCAGATTAGGACACCAAAGTTCAGTCTTAAGTGGTTTTTCAGGGCAGGAGCTGAAAAAACCCCACCAGCCTAAGCATTAGCAGTAGAAAACAGCTGTTTTATAAAGGAGAAATCTAGCAGGTACATTCCTAGGTCAGTGGTTACACAGCCATGAAAAGGTTCCAAACGGAAAAAGAGGACTTCAGTAACACGGTGCGATTCATTAGAAGGTTAAAATGAACGAATAGAGAAGAATGTGCGTTCACCACTCCCATTTCTCACACACAGTACATGCCCATGCTACCAATGCATTTGATAAGATAGGAGGGTACGGCTCGTAACTTGGAGGTCACGATAAAGCCTGAAATTTCAGTGTATTTGGCTTGTACCAAATAATAGGCTCAGCCTGAGGAGAAAAGCTACACGATATGGAAACTTATTAGAAACGCTGAAAGTATGATGGCATAAATTTCCATCGAAAACAAAACAAACCACACCCAACATCATAAGTAATTGCATTAGCATATCATACCTGACTTGAAAAAGTGACTCAACCGCATAGCAAGCCTCATTTGACGAGAATGTGTCTGAACTCTAGACGTCACCTGATATTAATCACATGAGTGATTGCTTTGCTATTGCTTTAAAGAAGGAACACCTACATAAAACAATGCATGACTTCAGAATATGACAAAGGGAAAATATAAATAAGTTAAATTGGTCTAAGTGAGGAGGGTGACTACGGAAAGACTGGTTCCAAATCAGACAGTAAAATATAAAATACCAATAAAACATAGGGCCGGTTTGTCAGACTAAGCCTCAGCCTAAATATGATTTTTTTGGGCTTTTTCAATAATGCTTTTGGCAAACAGCTCATTAAACTTGTAGTCAATAGTTTGAATACTGTTTTATACTATTTTTCTATGTTCAGGCTAATAAGCACTGTTAAAATTTGATCAACCAACATAAAAGTTCCCCATGGCACCAACATGTTTAAGCGGTTTGGAGGACACATTTGGAACCATTTTGCATTCTTTTTCCACAGTAAGGCAGAACTTTATGGGTTTTGATCTTCTCCACTCTGGCCTCATCAGTTCAGACCACAGGGTTTGCTGAGCCTTTCAGACTGGATAGACAGGGTGAACACTGGTTTGAGAATTGTTTCTATGAAGATCATAAAGTTTTTGGTTCATTATTTTTTGTTGCAACGTCCACCTGTGACCAAGTCTCAGCTTTACAAAGACAACATCAGTTTTTCTAAAATGTGGAATTCATTATGGCACTGATTATAGCCAGGCAATATAATCATATTTATCGGTATTGTGATCAAATACATCTCAAAATGTCACAATATGCTTTTCGTAACAATGACTGACTGCTTGTTTCATTACAAAAAAGAGCATAATTAGTTCTGTTCAGTTAGATTTAGTGTAGTGCAGAATGTGAAATGTTGGATACAGATAATTTTCAAGCTTTTTAATAGTATTTTTTTAGTGTGGCACTACTGGTTCTGATATTTTGCCTGTTTCAACCAGATGTAAGACTAAAATCATGGCATTTCGTGTACTGTGAAAAGTTCTTAAGGTGTCATGATAATACATTTTTGCTGTATCTCCCATCCCTAGCACTTAGACAAAGCCCCAGAACTACTGCCACCAGGATCCCACCCCATACTTTCAGTCAGATACACTAGTGAACCACTGCAGTTTTGAGGTTGTTCTGCTGTTCCTGAGGCTCTAAACAAGGGGTGTTTTTCCTTGTATGCATCCTTTTTTCAATATCTATTATGTTATACATGTCTAAACCCTCCATTCTGGTCTTGTCTGCAGTATCTGATTCCAATTATAACGTCCAAGTTTCACTGAACTTTGCTCATCTCCAGATGTTCAGTTTTCTTAAGCGGTTGTAATGGCTTTCTCTGTACAGAAGAATATGTCATAATGACTGATCTTAATGCTTTATGATCTCAGGACCAAACTAAAGTCCGCAGGTCCTCAACACTTTTTAAGGAGAAGCTTGGGGAAATATGAAATGTGTACTATTTGGCCTTTACTCTGAATGTCAGTCAGCTCTTTGGTATCTGAAGTTGCACTGGAGGCTAATGTAGCTAACAAGTAATGAATGTCTGTCACCTGAAATCTTTCTGAGTAATAGACTTTCATTACATTAACCCTGAGTCTCCAGTGCAAACAGACAGTCAATACACAAGTCTTATCAGATTTGCTGCATTTAGGGCAAATTCTTGCCAAACCATAACTTTACCTTTAATTTTGCTACGCTTACAAGCCTCAATCATCTTTTTTGCTGGGACATTTCTTAACCGATTTTAACTCCAGCAGCACTGCTGTGTCTGATCCACTCGTGCCAGCGCAACACACACAAACACACCACCACCACCACGTCAGTGTCACTGCAGTGCTGAGAATAATCCTCCACCCAAATACTCTTTGGTGGTCCTGTGGGGGTCCTGACCACTAAAGGGGGCTAAAAAAGTATGCAGAGAAACAGATGGACTACAGTCTGTAATTGTAGAACTACAAAGTGCACATATATAGTAAGTGGAGCTGAATGGACAATGAGTGTAGATACAAGGAGGTGGTCATAATTTAATGCTGTTGCTGATTGATGTATATGGGCATCCCATTTTTCAAAAGGCTTATTAAATCTGCTGGGAGTGGATCTTAAATGCTACCTTGTGAACAAACCAAACTGCCACAGCAGCTCAAATATTAGAGAATAAACATAGGCACATTTATTCCACACAGCAATTTTGCCAGAAGAAGCCCAAACTCCCTTTGCAGCCTGCAGTAAACATAAGCTGCGCCATTACGTCTGTATGAAGCCCACTCGAGCATTTTGTTAAGCTAAGCTACACGAAAAGTGCGCACACAATCAAATCTACAAAACAGGTTTAGAGCTGCAAACAAGCTTCTGCGCTGCGTAGAACTGGGATCACTAAGCAGCATAAAAGCCTGCAGGCAAGTTGGACTTGAATCCAACACCGAGGCTGGAGTTGGCTTCGCTTGTCTTCTGCGAATTTCCCGTTCCACCTTAAATGGTGCAGCAGTTCCATGCTGGCGCGTGCAGGCGCTGAGCAGTAACTGCGGCATCATTTAAGGTGGAGCGGACAATTCGAACACGGTCAGTTTCAGCCGCTTAATTCAACTTACTTGGGAGCTCGACGCAGGAGAGCAGTGCTGCCTTCGTCCCAGAACGCGGATTAGCAGATCTCCATCAACTTATTCAAACTGATTAATGCACTTTATAGTAAAAAGAAATAAAAAAAAAACGAAAAGCTGAAGTCCGGCTAGAGGATACGAAGCACTCGGGCACCTTCCCTTCCTGCCATGGTAACGAAACTAAACGGAGAAATAATATCCTGTGCAGCGAGCGGAGCAGGAGGCAGGATCACGGAGACAGCGTGAACATAAGTCAGGCCTGCAGCAAAACATGAAATGAATCGACCTTAATTCAGCTGAAGTTGTTTGTCCCACGGTTAATGCAGGGCGATTTATCGGGCCTGTGAGAGCAGGTCTTCGGCGATGTAATTAGATGATGTGGCTCAGCATTATGTCCATTGATCCAATTACAGGAATTACCTCTCTGAGTGAGGCAGGCAGATCCGTTCAGATGGGGCGCTTTTGCCGTCCTGCGCGGAATTTCCAAACCAGGCAAAAGTCAGTCCGCAGTGGTGCAGTTCAAATACAGACGATCAAACGGGCCCGCGATAATCCCCGATACTGGTGACAGACCCAGAGCTTTCTCGACTCAGCAGCAACAGGCAAACAGTCCCAAAGCCGCTTAGCCAAGCGCAACGGCGCCCTCTGTAGGTTAGTGGAAAAATGAACTGCGCTCAGGCTGAAAGGCTGATGCTCTAAAATGCACTGCAGTTTCTGGAGAGTCATATCACAAGATCAGTGCCAAAGGGACATTATCATTGGAATTTTTTTTTTTACGTCAGGAAATCACTGCTTTTGTCCTCCTTAGTTTAAGTTACCAAAGTACTTTTATAAAAAAAAAAAAACAATAAATGAATAAAAAATGGACCATGCATAATTTTTTTTCAAGCCAAATAATAATACGTTGTGGAGTTGTGACGCAGAGAACACAAGAGGAATGACGTAGAGAAATGTATTTTGGGCTAAACGGGCTGCTATGCTGTCTGTTATCAAGGTTATGGTTCCTACTATTGGTAATATTTTTTGGCAAAACGTAGTTCATAATACAGATACATATAAACACATAGTACAGATAGATATAAACACAGTACAGATGCATATAAACAGTAAAGATGCATGTATACATAGTACAGATACATATAAACATAGTACAGATGTATATAAACACATAGCACAGATGCATATAAACACAGTACAGATGTATATAAACACATAGTACAGATGCATATAAACACAGTACAGATGTATATAAACACATAGTACAGATACATATGAGCACAAAGTGCAGATGCATGTAAACACAGTACAGATGCATGTAAACACATAGTACAGTTGCTTGTGAACATATAGTACAGATACGTGTAAACATAATACAGATGCATATGAGCACCAAGTGCAGATGCATGTAAACACATAGTACAGATGCAAATCGCTGTTGTCGGAAGAAAACCTTGTATCTCCAAAATGGTAACTTTACAGGAGAAGGAAAAACATGCTTTACTTTTAATGTAAGTCAATGGAACCCGACCTTTTTCAAAGTCATTTTGGGTCATTTCATCATTAAATGTACGCACAGTGTAAAGGGCAACAGGTATTTTCACATTATGTCAAAAACTGAAAAATGCAGTAAACACAGTGCGGATGCATACAAACCCATAGTACAGATGCATATAAACACATAGTACAGATGCAAATAAACAAATAATACAGATGCACATAACACAGTACAGATACATATAAACAGTACAGATGCATATAAACAAATAATATGGCTGGATTAATTCAATTCAAATAGTACAGATACATGTAAACATAATACAGATGCATATGAGCACAAAGTGCAGACGCATGTAAACACAGTACAGATGCAAATCGCTGTTGTCGGAAGAAAACCTTGTATCTCCAAAATGGTAACTTTACAGGAGAAGGAAAAAACATGCTTTACTTTTAATGTAAGTCAATGGAACCCGACCTTTTTCAAAGTCATTTTGGGTCATTTCATCATTAAATGTACGCACAATGTAAAGGGCAACAGGTATTTTCACATTATGTCAAAAACTGAAAAATGCAGTAAACACAGTACGGATGCATGCAAACCCATAGTAATACAGATGCATGTAAACAAATAGTACAGATACATATAAACACAGTACAGATATATATAAACACAGTACAGATACATATAAACACAGTACAGATGCATATAAACAAATAATACAGATGCATGTAAACAAATAGTACAGATACATATAAACACAGTACAGATACATATAAACATAGTACATTTAAACACAGTACATATGCATATAAATACATAAACACATATTACAGATGCATGTACACACACACAGTAAAACAAACATGTACACACAGTACAGATTCATGTAAAAAACACAGTATAGATGCATATAAAGACAGTAAAACACATAACACATACATACATAGTACAGATTCATGTAAAAATGCATATAACAGTGTAAACATACGTTGATAGGGGAATATACATAACTACACAAAAATCTTGAAGTGCACACATTTTAGCAGGTTTATAGCTTTTCAAAAAATATGGCTAGATTAATTCAATTTAATGTTCCATTTCCTTTTCAAAGGCAGCAAAAATTGGCTTTTTGTCTGAGAATTTCCACTTGTGAATATAAAACTGTCATTAAAATGCTAAGATTTATCATGTATACATGTGTGCATTTGTGAATTTCCACAATAAACAATACTTTTACAATGAAGGCACTGAAGGTTTGCCCAAATGTTTTTTCACATATTGAAAATACCAATCTAGTATTCGTTTTTCAACAGTCAATTACATAACATCTCACAGAATTGTCACCCTTCATCATGTGACATCACTATTCATCCTCTTACTTAATGTAAATATGGCTGAAAAATAAAACAAAACTCATGAGCACAGATAAATGATTCGATTTTTTAAAAAAATTCACGTTTTACGACATGATATGTGCAGAATATGAGATCATTGGACCAGGGCAAAAGTTGGATGTTAATACAACTTATATGAAGCAATATGGAAGTTCGGTGACTGTCCAGACAGACATGCAAAACTGCATTCACAAAAAAAGAGACATAGAACTTTTTCACTTGAAATGGTTTTTCTATGTTATTAATCAACTTTGAATTAAAACGTGTAGACTTTAAAAAACACTCACAGATGTGACCAGCAGATGGCGGTATTGACAAAATAACCGGAAAACCATTAACTTTAGGCTAAATGGACCTGTAAGTATAAAAGTGGCCAATTTTTGTAATCAGATTAAAATTATTGCACACCAGAAAATGATTGAAAAAAAAAAAACCCTATTACTACAGCATGATGCAGTTTCATCAGTCATATTGATGCACCTGGTCGTGCTCATATTGAAATAGTGAAATAAATAGCAAATAATGAATAAATTATGTACAATTACAAAGCTCATCAAAAAATACATTTATTTGCTACTTTGTCAAATTAATTATCTGTAATTAATCTGTTTATATTTTTATGGCAATTTATTATTAGTTTTTATGTAAAGCTTCTTGATATCAATTTTAAAGTTAAAATATTAATACTAGTGATACTTCTGCAAAATACTTTTAACTAGTGAAAATATAATTGTTACATCATGTGCAAATTCAATTCTTACACAAAAGAATAGGATGTTTTACCTTTGAATGAGAGGAAAAAATGTACATGTAACAGTGCGATTCACTAGTAAGATAAAAATGAATTAATTAGAATTCACTAGTAAGATCAAATCTGCCCTGTGATGGACTGGCGACCTGTCCAGGGTGTTTCCTGCCTTCCGCCCAATGACCACTGGGATAGACTCCAGCTACCCCCACAACCCAGAAGGATAAGCGGCTTAGAAAATGTGTGTGTGTGTGTGTGTGTGTGTGTGTAGTAAGATAAAAATGAATTAATTAGAATTTCAACATGTCACTTTTTTTCTACTTGTTCCTCACATTAAAACATAACCACAGTAAAATTGTAAAGTAAAAACAAACTGGGAAAATTCATTAATTCTTTGTGAGAACTGAAATCTTTCACGCTAATAAATAATTCCTTCTGATAAAATTTGGCTTTGGCCATGTCAGAATGGTAGATAGTATGTATATATACATGGCTATGTATATGTACAGCTATACATTTATAAATAATTATATATGTGTGTGTATGTATATATAGTATTTTTATTTTAATGTGTGTTGCATTTTTCCTTTTTCTTTACTTTTTAAAAACCTTTTTCCCCCATAATGTTCTGTAAATTAGACGCCCTGTCTCATAACCGAAGGACCTTTATTTTGAATCCCCAGTGAGCGCTGCCGACCGGAACGCAATCTCGTTAGCGCTGGTTCACATTACTTGGAAGAACACTAAAAGAAAGGAGGAAAAGGGGCAGCAGGGCAGAGACTGTTTTGTGTTCAGGATCCCGCGTACGTCCAGCTAACCCGCTGAAACCCGAGAGAGAGCAGTGAACAGGGCTGTAAGCCGGACGGCATCAGCGGCTCTCGCGGCACCGTGGAAGTAAGTCGCTGTATCGCAGCTCTCTGACTAGCTGCTGGGTCGCTAGCTAGCAGGCTAATAACGGGTTCGCTGAGCTGCTAGCCTGAGTTAACTCCTCACTGACAAGCCTGTATTCCACAAGTTATGCGTAGCTACATTTAATAACTCCGAAATAGTCTCTCCTTTAGATGCTGCGCTGAACTTGACGGCGTATGTAAGCTGTCACTAAACGTTATGGTGTCGTTAAGTGTCGAATGCGTTAGTAACGTAAACGTACTCCGCTAATGTTGGCTAGCTAATTAGCTGGAAGGTGTACTATTCGACTTTATTCAGCTACATAACAGGACATTTTCGTCATGTTGTGATGAATTAATTGTATTCCTTGGCCAGCTAGAAGCAGCCGAAAGCAAAGTGGTCCATTTTTTGTGCTTAAACAGTGAAGTACTCGTACTAGCCCGCAGTAGAATGGACAGCTAACGTTAAACCCGCTCAGTGTGCTCAGAGGCTTTTGTCCTCACTGAGGCATCATTAAGACAACAAGACACAGAGCTTAGCTACCGTTAGCTCCCTCTGTTCACTGTCAGCTGCCCGGAGCCCAGACAGGGTGCTATTAAATACTGATATACTATCGATTTAATCCCGTATTATTCGATGGTGAGACGTTCTAGTCGTAGAAGGTGCTTTAGTTGGTTTGTTTTAAGCAAGCCGGACAACATTGAAGGGGAACTCCACCGATTTTTCACGATACCTGCGTAATCAAATGGTTAACGTGTCGAGAAAATTATTCGGAGAGGTTTAGTGTGAAAAGCTCCGTTGTAGAGAAACTTGGAGAGTCAGAGTTGTTCACAGTGGTGGTGATGGGAACCAGACGTCCACCTCCAAAAGCTCCCTCACAGACAGTTGAAATGGCTAGAAATACTGTGAATACTCTGAAATACCTGTTGTCTGGGACGTTGTTTTATGATAGTTTTGTGATAAAGGTTTTGGGGCTAAAATGTGTTTTTATCAGGTTATTTTAATCCATTTGTAGTGGAAGGATGCCAGAAAGGTGTTCTAAGGCGAAGTAGTCCCCAAAGAAAA